TAATGAGAAGTAGTGACATAATGTTGATACTAGCCGAAATAAATATAATACATACAGATGATTAAAATAATTGTGATGATGATAATAGTATCTATTATCCATTCTATTTTTGGCTCTTACTATTTTTCTATACTGGCTCTACCCATTTTTTTGAATGCTGCGCAACATCAGTTGCAGCATTCAACTTGAAAAGAATTCTCTTTCCCTATCAGGATGTTGATTTTGGAAAATTTCTTCAGAGTAATTGTTTTACCATCATGAACTGGCTTCTATTTGTTTTTGCTCATTGCTGACGATAAAACTAAGAAAAGGAAAAGAGCCTAGAACCAATGCCTTTGCAGATTGTTTCTTGATGCCCGGATGCATTTAGATTAGAAATTAGAAATCATAGTTACTAATAGATGAAGATTAATGAGTTGATTGTGCTGGCAGCTAGTTAAGGACAAAAGGAGCTGATACTAAATGCAGGAGAAATGAAAGATTCCTTGATTACTGCAGAATATAGTTAAGGGATATCTGTAGCTTTTGAAAAAAAAAATGCAATTAAAAGCAAGAGAATGTTCTGAAAGAGAGTGGATATTACATATCTTACTCTACTACTTAGTTTTATCATCAGCAATGCTACATTGCTATATAATGCTACTTTAAATACAGAAGTATGCTCTGCATTTGAAATAAAAGACGGAGAAAAACTATTGAGAGCAGCAAACATATTTGCAGTTTAATCTCTCAGCTAAAGTAGATAAAAATTATTTGCTGAATTAAAATTACTAATAAAGTTAACAGATATTTTTCTTATAGAATAGATAAGGTTACCTGATTGTCTGAGTTATGTGTATTCTCTTTCTCTGCTATGTTCTTTCAGTACTATTCAGTATCTGCTGTTGGTGGCTCTGCTATTGCTGTGTTGTTGCACTGCAGTTGGGAGGACACCTTGGATGGTTCTTTGAAGAACAGGACATTTATCTTTATTTATTTTATTTATTTATTATTCGAATTTATATCCCGCCCTTCTCCTTGCGGACTCAGGGCGGCTGATAATCGATTAAAAAACACCAATAACAGTTACAAAATTAAAATTAATTAAAAAGAAATATTTAAATATTGTCTGATTAAAATATAATTAAAACCCCTCTAAAATTGCCCTAGGCCAGTCTTCTTGGCATTTGTTTCTCTAGCCTATCTCCTTAGCCTGGTAGCCAGTGTTGTGAGCCTTTAGCAGTCTAGGGTTTTAGATGGACTCATGACCTTGTATTTTTTTCAGTAGACAAGTCTTAATCATTTTTTTTCCTTAATCACCACGCCATACCCGGCTGACTAACTTCTCTCCCAGTTGCCTTGATCTTAGCCTTCAACCTCATTTTCCAGGGAGGCTATGTACTACTGTTCTCACTTGTGTAGTCAAGCATCTCCAAGATTACAGTGGTTGTAGCATATATCAGTTCTTTGATTTAAATATCATAGTAGTAAGGATTGTCCTGAGGGCTGTATTGACATCTTCTAGCAGATTATTTCATAGAATTTCTCCTCTGAGCCATAGCTTGTTTATCTATGACTTTATGTCTCATATCAGATATTGTGCTCTGTACAGCACAGGGTGGGGTGCGGTGATGTTCCACTTCAGGTATTGGCTGCCCATCCAGTTGTTCTTCTGAGTCTTTTTGAGACTGAGACATAATGTGTAGTGATCTATCTTAAGTTGTTAAAGCACTTCACTATGTTTAAGTGTTGGGTAATTAGCTATTTTTCAGCTAGTTTGAATGTAGGTCTTCTGTCCATCTTATACATTTCATATATCCCCTCTCATTAGGTCTACTATTGTTGTAGCATTTCATCAGTTTCAGATTCTATTGTTTGGTTTGTTCCAGTAGCCCATTTATATTCAGATTGTCCTCATTCCCCAATATCTGGCACAAACCTTGTTACTCTGGGCAACATCTGAGCCGGCATGACTCTCTTAGTTCATGTCACTCTCATATCTGAGGTAGGCAGTTTGAAGTGTTAGAGGGTCTTTGCTGTACTGGTAAGATCCGTACTGGTAAGGTAGATACCAGCCACGATTTGAAACCCTGTTTCCTCTGTCAAGGGTGGCTCTTTAACCACAATGCTACCAAGCCACTATACATCAAACTGACTACACACACACGAGAGTGCATATGCACATGCACATATACACTCACATTTCTAATTAACACTTATTTGTAGGATAACATCACCGCATAGATTAAAAAGCAAGTGTTAAGCAAACTTCCAGAATTTGAAGTAATAAAGATTCTGAAAATATTTAGAAACTCAATTAGGAAATTCAAGTCAGATGTTTTGAATAATTTGTACTGTATGGCAATGACTCATGAAATAGTTCAGTTTTATTGTGATGAAAATGATCATGCCATTACTCAAATTATTAACTAGGATAATTTATTGGGTTGCTTCTATTACAACAAATATACTTATTTCAGATTTGTGGTTTGGCAGATATACCCATAAGAAGGGCTTTTTTTGTCATAGAACGCCCAGAATGGAGTTCCGGCAACTTTTTTGGATGGAACCTTGTAGGGTTGGCAAAGCGGGTTGTATGACGTGTGAGTTCCGGCACCTTTTTTTTTTTTTTTCAAAAAAAGCATTGCCCATAAGATAAACACAATGAATAATCCCCTAAAATTTCCTTTAAATTATTTATTTTGGAAATCTTGTTTTCTTCTCTACTAGTTGGATTCCTTTTGGTAACAAAAACAAGCTTTGATCTTTCTTTTATTAGCCAATTTTATTTCTGTAAATGGGCATCAGGAGAAAGGTCCTTTCCCTTGTACCAAGATTATGTCATGCAAACATGTATCACTTAGTATATGAAATATATTTTTAAAAAATGTTTAACCCTTTATTTTTATCCTGACTTTATTTTTTATAAATAACTCAAGGCAATGAACATACCTAATACAATTTTGTCTTCCTTTTTTCTCCATTACAACAATTCTGTGAGGGGGTGGGCTAAGAGAGAGTGACTGACCCAAAATCACACAGCTAGTTTTTCATGACTAAGTCAGACTAGAACTCACAATCTCCTGGTTTCTAAGCCAGCACCTTAACTACTAGAACAAACTGGCCCACATTTATATATCCCAATTGGTTTGTTTTAAAATGTTTCTTCTTATCATTTATAAAATGTTCTGTTCATAATATTATTTATATTGACAACATTATAGTAGTTACTAAAAATGAATATTAGTACCTTGAGCCATTATTAATTAGTGAAATGGTAAGAGAATGCAGTACTGCTTTTTCAGAACACAATTTTTGTCTTAAAAGACACTTGGACTTGCAAAGTGACTTGCAAATCCGCACAGTACTTGAATGTGGAAGTCGAATTAACCAATGTTGTATCTAACAACTTTCTAGTGTTTAGGACAACTTCTTCTAAGCAAAAGTGAGAGCAGGGGCTGGAATACTGTGACGTAGATTTGGAATCAAATATAATTTAACATAAAGAGGTTTATTCCTGCCCCATTCTTATCATAGCAGCAAGCAGCCACTCAAGTTACTGAAAACCCTTTTTCAAAAAATTCTGTTTCTCCTAAAAAAATGAGATAGGATGCAGAAGCTCACCTGGTTTGGAGCAATTCTTCATGGCATAACTGCCCCCCCACATTCTATCCCAGGGATGTGGTTTGGAATGTGGGGGCTGGTTATGCAGTGGAGAATTGCTCCAAAGTGAGTGATTTTCTGCATCCTATCTCATTTTTTAGGAGGGACACTGATCCTTTGAAAGGCTTTTTACAATTCAGGGCCAAATAGGGATTTCAGGGCCAAATAATGGAAGAAAAAACTTCCTTATAGGAAACCCCTTAGGTTCTTGCCATAAATGTAAATCTCATTTGAGCTGAGCTAGTAGTTATAGAAAGATATAAAGGTTCTTTTCTTGACAACAATGGGATTTCCAGTTGGTCTCCTATCCAAATATTGTCATCTTGCTTAGCTTTTTCAATATAAGCCAAGATTTCTAGATGCTTTCGCCTACAGTATAATGCAGTCCATAATATTTGCATAAATATATGCATGACACATAGACACACAAAGAGAGAGAGAGAATTAGAAGAAGAATTTGGCATTATTTGCTTGTGCTTGTATTTTACTCTGTTGGTTTCAGGAAAGAAAGTTTATTATGTAATCAAATTTACTTTGAAACAAGCACTTTAAATAAAAAGGGAAATGTACAGAATTGTTTAGGCTTTCACTTAAATTCGTTATGCTTAAAACTTATTGTACAACAGTGAGTAAGATTATGGATGCTGTGTGAGTCATAGGTATTCTAGATGATGGAACATATTAATATTTCATATTGACTTTTTATAATCTTTATAATCTGAGTATTAGATAAAGAACATTAAATGTTACAGATCTGGTTTTAATGTTTATGTTCTAATGAAAATGACCATGTTGAGAGGGAGAAACTTGTGAAGATTATTTTGTGGGCATATAGGTTCAGTAAGCAAAATATGTTAATAGTTCCTGGTAACTCTTCCTTTCCAAGGTGACTAAAAACTTTTGAATTCATTTCGGCAGTTTGCAAGTATATGTTGAGCAGGAGAGAATAATATTATCCTCTGGGCAAGTGTTCAAGCCAGCCATTGCTAGAAACGTTTCTAGGCTATGGTTGCATCAAAATTATGGTTTTCCATGTATAGGACTGGAGAGTATGCCAAACCATAAGTAAACACAAATTGATTGGAGGTATAGCATGTGAATTTATCTCTACTTGCTTAGTTATCATGAATATTATAAATGTATCCTTGTAGCCCATCCTCATAAGTTAATGACAATTCCTGTTTGAATGATTAAAGATCCAGAATTCAAACTGTCCTAATTTACTTACAAATATATTTGTATGTAGAATATGATATGAAAAATTAAAATATTGCATGTTAAGCTATGTAGATTTATTAATGGAAAGCTTCTATGCGTATTTGAATCAGTTGTGTAAATGTCTGTAACATATTTCACAGGTCGATCTTCGCTATTTCCTTTTGAAGATGGCTTTCTGGATGACAGTCATGGTGACCAGTCTTTATCATCAGGTCTCAACTCCCCAACTCGCTGTCAGAATGGTGAAAGAGTCGAACGCTATTCTAGGAAGGTGTTTGTTGGAGGTCTGCCTCCTGACATTGATGAAGGTACAGTGGACTGATGGGAGGAAGGGTATAGGGCAGAGGTCCCCAACCTTTTGGGCAACAGGGACTGGTGCCATGGAAAAAGGTTTTGTGTACTGCCTGCATCCCATGGATGGGGCTTTTCTTGTTCAGTGCCGTTATAATTTTGAATAGCAACTAAATGAATGGTTGTAAGTTGAGGACTATGTATATAATAACAACAGAATTTGGATCAAAATAGCTTAAATTGATTTACAGTCCTAATTGGTAATCTCTCCTTGGGACATGGAATATAAAATATGTTTAATTTTTTTGGTGTTACTTTCATTAATATTGAAGCAGTTTATATAGCAGTACTGTTTTTCATAACTAGAGCTACATCTACAATGCATATGAGCAGTATATTAGCATTAGTCAGTAGCCCTCAGCTTCAGTGACAGGATCCTGGTTCTTTTTCTTTTGCATTTAAAAAAATAAAGACAAAAGACTAGACACATACAAGGCAAGACAAAAAAGTAAACATAGAGTAAAAAATAATTTAAGAAATTTGATTCCAAATAGGGTTCTGTTTTGAAATATTTTGAAATATATAAAGTGCAAAATTTAGTGAAAAAACTTGTTTTGATGTACAAGTGTTGTTTCAAATACATAGTGACTTTTTCCAGTATTTTGGAGGTGTTTCAGACAAATATTCGGGGTAGCTGGCATGCTTTTGACATGTTCAAGATTGCAATAATTCTTTTTCAAGTTCAAAACATCTCCAAAATGGTCAAAACAGCTCATTGTAACTATGATATATGATATATGACTTATCGCTTTGTTGTTATATGTGTGTACACTGAGAGCTTATGCACCAGCGGAGACAAATTCCTTAGGTGTCCAATCACACTTGGCCAATAAAGAATTCTATTCTATTCTAATCTGTTTTGTTTTGCTCTGAATGCTAAACATTTCATGGAATTTCACGCTCAAAACATTCTGCACACCTGTAGTTCCAAAACTGAAAAAGTTCAACTTCAGATACAGGTATTCCTTGACTTACAACCATAGTTGGGACTAGAAATTGTGTTGCTAAGCAAGGCAGATATTAAGTGGGTCACGCCTGATCTTACAAGCTTTTTTTGCCACAATTGTTAAGTTAATCACTGCAGTTTTTAAATGAATCACATGATCATTAAACAACTCTGGCCTCCCCCACTGATTTACTTTGTTGGAAGTTGGCTGGGAAGGTCATAATTGGTGATCACATGACCTGGGATGCTACAATCATCATAAATACATGCTGGTTGTCAAGCACCCAAATTTTGATCACTAACCCTGGGGATGCAGTGATGGTTATAAGTATGAGGAACCGTTTTAAGTCACTTTTTTCAATGCTGTTGTAACTTCAAACAGTCACTAAATGATTGGAAGTTGAGGACTACCTGTACTTTAAAAAAATCAGAACCATTAAGCAAAAGTACTTAGTTTTATCATTCATTTTTATTTCTGATGAATCTTAATTATTATTTTGTTATAGATGAAATCACTGCTAGCTTTCGTAGGTTTGGACCTCTTGTGGTGGACTGGCCTCACAAAGCTGAAAGCAAGTCATATTTTCCACCTAAAGGTAATTATTTCAGTTTTCTGAAGCAGGAAAATGTTCTCCATGTATAAATAATTTTCTAAATGAATTTTTAGATGCTTGAAATATTGGTTTCATCTTTCTTGTCATGTATAACTTTTGTTATCTATTTCTGTTCTAAGATTGAATATGCTGTTGCATGACTGCAGTGAAATTCTAGCCATAATAATACTGTGATTTCTGTGGTTTCATAACCATTTTTATGGATATCCTGCAACACAGGAGTTGTTTGAATCTTTTGAATAATAGCTATCCAGCTTCGGTGGGTAATTTAACATAAAGACAGTATTGTTCATGATAGGACAGTACCATAGTTTTTAATCATAATAAGTACCATTTTTCACAATCCTAGAATTGTATATACTAGTAGGTAATTACAATTCTGACTGTTCTTCACTATTCTAGAAACAGTGGGATCAGAGCATGGAGTGTAGGAACAAATGTTTTTGCATCCTTTTCAAATATTCAAACATTTCCTTATCAGAATAATGGATAATTGTCAAAAACCTAGTGCATAATAATTACTGTTAAAAACAACTGCATTTATCCCAGTAACTTTTTAATATTTAGAGCACTTTTAAAAAAAAATTCTTTGCAAATGCTAGTGCATTTATTTGTGATGAAGAATGAATCTCTTTCAATAGATATAAAATTTCTATGAATGAGAAAGTTAAAACTACCTTGATTATTTGAATGAAACTATTAATATATTAATCTTTAAATTTATTTCGTAGTATCAAAGAAGCCTAATATGCATTCAGTCCCTAATTAACCAGCTGATAAATAATTATCTGTGGATTAGTTTCAGTATTGTCTTTTCATTAACAGGATAGCCTTTTCTGTTTGTGCTAAAGATAATAATCTGACAGAGATTCTGCTCAGGTGCCAGGAAGAGGAGAAAGCCAGCAGTTTCTATATTCCCCAAAACACTTTGAAATGTTCCTCATTTTTATCCTTTAGAAGTATAGGAACATGCATGAATAATGGAATATTCTTCACTTCTTTATCTAGCAGCAGCATTTGATAAGTTTTTCCAACATATTAAAATTTTATCACATTTCAATTATATATGCAAAGGGGAATTTCTGTGCTTTGTTGAAGAATCATTTAAGTGCAATTTTTCTTTCTGGTTATAGCATTACTGAATTTCTTCATACCATCTAATATAAATTTAATTTCTTTAGTTTAGGAATGGAGAACTCCAATAAAGAAAGGCTTACTGAGTTCTCAAGACATCCTGTGTTTTGGGAGGTTAAATCAGTGCTCTCTTGTGTTTATTAAAAACATTCTTTAGTGAAATATATTTTAGCAGAAGACAAGGATATAGTCTTTTCTATTTTTTGCCAGGGCACTAATATGAGAAACAGCTTTCAAAGTGCCTGCCAGTTGCCGTGAATGTCTGTCTGAAAGTGCTAAACACTTTGTCACAACTGTTCCAGATTATTTATAACTGACTTCTGAGCTGCCAGAATTTTAGCAGAAACCTTACAGCATAATGATTAGAAACTCTGTTATAGTTCCCATAATTGCAAGATCTCAGCATTAAATTGGAGATTACCTTAGCTAAGAAGTCTATGTAATACCTCAGTAAAATTCTCAGTGCTAGGTGTCCATATTTAAAATTCATAAAATAAAGACTAGAAACATGACTCCACAATTGAGCTTGGAATTTCCATTGTAATTCGTTACAGTCAATAAGTGGGTCACCACATGACCTGACTCAATTTTACGACTGTTTTTTCAGTGGCCATAGAGTGAGTCACCACAGTCATTAAGCAAATTGTGTGGTCATTAAGTGAACCACGAGGTCATTAAGCAAATCCACTCTCCTAAATAGCAAAACTGGCCAAAAAACATTGCAAATAATGGGACTGCAGGATGCTGCAATATGCTATACATTCAAACTGGTTGCCAAACTCTTGAAATGCGATCATGTGACTGTGGGGGGGAGGGAATGGCAGTTTTAACTTCAAGGGTGGGTCATAAGTAACTTTTTAGGGCTTGTCATAACTATAAACAGTCTTAAAGTGATCAGTTGTTAAGTGAGAACTACCTGAATAAGATTCATAAATTTTCCTCTATTGGGTAGTTCTGTGTTCAAAACAAAACGTCTCTATCCTTCAGGGCAATAAAGTAGTTCATGTGTTTAAAACAAGGCATTCAGCAGTTATATTTGAGGAAAATTCCAACTAACTTGAAGCCAGATGGTAACTGAAAAAAAACTAAAGCTCTGGTATATTCTGGTGTTCCTTCCCTTATTTTTGGCTTCTTCTTCACCTAAATTGCATCCATTCCTTGTAGCAATGTATATAGTAGCTGCCAAATAATAATATTGCCTGCATTACTGTAGTGATCAAACCTCTGTTCCTTTGCATGTTTCACATTCTTCACATTCTTATGGGAGGTATATAATTATTATATAATTATTTATTCTGCTATTAAGTTACTAGTTGCTATAAGAATGCTGATGTTTTTCCTAATGTATTGAAACAATTAGCATCTTCTGATCTTTCCAGACATCTCCAGATGCTCAAATTCTCACCTTTACTTTCCAAACAACCTTCTGTTTGTTAATCCACCAAATTTATTGATATACCCTTGGGATATTGTTATTGTGCATGGTTCCAAATAATTCATCATTTTCTACTTCCTTCATTGCTAAGGAAACAGTGGCTTTTTTGTATATTTAACCAGCAAATTATAGTGCTTGTTAATTATTATGAATTTATAACATGCATTTAATTAGGTGTGTTATTTACTCTGTTAAATATGTTCTGTGTAATTTCTATTTTTCTAATGATTATTGACATAGTTCACAGAATATCGTTTCTATTATTATGTAAATATTCTGTTACTAAAAGATACACATCCATATATTCTTAAAGGAAAATCAATTCTGTCCAATCTAATACATCATAATTTATAATGTATAACAATTATGAATAGAACAATGGAATGCTATGAATTATATAAATGGTTGCACACAGATGACTTCTTAAAACTAAAGCTAAACCAAAACATAAATAAGAGAGATGAACAAGAAACAAAGAAAACACAGAACTACTCAATTTCTAATTTGGTTCAGTTGTCTCTAATAAGAAAATATTTGATACACTAGATAATTGTGAAAGCCAGAATAAAACTTATTACTAAGAAGTGAATAAGTTTAAAAACTCTAGGCTAGAAAAATTGTATCCCAGAAGACCAAAGAAGTTGGCTATAATTTTTATATATTATCCTTGAATAATTATGGAAAAATAAGTAACAGGTGAGTGGAGAACAAATCTTGTCCCTGTCTTTGAAAATATAAAAAATATATAAAAAAAGATCCAGCAACCTGTATAGTATCAGTCTTATACCAATACCATAGAACAGTGATGGCGAACCTTTTAGAGACCGAGTGCCTAAACTGCAACCCAAAACCCACTTATTTATCACCGGGTGCCAGGTAGGCGTGGCCCACTGGGTGGACATGGCTTGGTCATGGCAGATTGGGTGGGTGTGGACAAGGTGGGCGTGATCACCTTGATGTTGCTTGTGGGGAGGGATGCCTGTGGGGGCCAGGCAGGGTTGGGGGAGATCCAGGGGGTCTCTGACAGATGGGGTGGTGGGCAGGAGGCTCGCCTGCTGGGTGAGGTGAGGCAAGGCGAGGTAGGGCGGAGGTGCCATTGTCACAGGGCAAGGTGAGGCCGGGGCTGCTGCTGCCTGACACCATCGGCCCCTGCACACCGAGGCCAGCGCTGGGATGCATCCGGCCATTTGGGACTTTGGCGAGTTAGTGGGCAGCTGGTTGAAGAAGGATGGTTGCCATCTTCGGGGCACGGTGCGCGTGCCCACAGAGAGGGCTCTGAGTGCTGCCTCTGGCACGCATGCCATAGGTTCGCCACCACTGCCATAGAAAATCCTAGAGAAATTAATAAACACATCCATATATAAGCACCCTGAAAATAATGCAGTAATTATATGAAGTTAGCATGGATTTGCCAAGAACATGTCTTGCCAGACTAACCTTATTTAATAATTGATAGGACAACTTTTCTTAATTATAGGAATGCTTTATATTGCTTTCAATTAAATATTTGATATCTCATGATTGCTTATTGGCAGGCTAGTTATAAGTGAATTGTAAAAAAGTGAAAAAATAACTACATGTAGTCCTTGTTTAGCAACGTTAAACTGCTTCACAATTACAATGATGATGAAAAAGTAACATTATGACCATTCCTTGCATTTTCCACCTTTGCAGGTCTATAAAGTAAAGATAACTTGAAGTAAGATCATAAGCACAATTGTGTTTTCACTTAGCAACTGCTTCCTTAACCACTAAATTGCCAATCCCAATTAAGTTCACCAAACAAGGACAAATTGCAGTATTATGTTTTGGGTCAGAGATATTATGTTTTTGAAGACATTTTGAAGATACTCTGTTATTTTACAACATTCATGTTATGTCTGTGGTTAATTGTGCTATATATTTTATAATTTGTATTTACTAACTTTATTCTTTTTGTCCAAGGTTATGCTTTTCTGCTGTTCCAGGAAGAAAGCTCTGTTCAAGCTCTGATAGATGCCTGTCTAGAAGAAGATGGTAAACTTTATTTATGTGTATCAAGTCCCACTATTAAGGACAAACCAGTAAGTAAAATAATAATTCTTTCAATAATTAAAACCAAATGTTCTGAGTTACCTGTTCAGGTTAATGATGGCAGTTTTAGGACTGTAATCCTGAGTTTACTTAATCTTCTTAAGGTGGTACTGTAGCCTTCAAGATTACATTGAAGGTCATTATGTATTCAAATATAATCGTTGCATCCATTATATTGTCCATTATATTCATTTTATGAACAATGAGAATCCTAAAACACTCTATCCTGGTCTTTGGTATGTGTTTAAAAAATCGTCATCTCAACAAAACAGCTGTTTATAAAATGCAAGAAGACAAAAAATTACCTCAATGCTGATTTTGCTCATTCAAAGTATCTGTTTAAATTCATTATGATCAGGGTCAGTAAGCAGTGCAACATTCTGCTGACTTAATCATGTTACTTCAAATCATGTTACTTTCCCCACAAAAGAGTTGGGGAGGTACCATACATGTGGATTGTTTAATCTGTTATATAGAATGAAAATATTTTATTGTCTTCCTTGAGCAGACAAATAAGAATATAAACATACATACATAACAAATAAGCAAATAACTAACACAATTTCTCTCTTTCTCTCTCATACACACAGACATAAAGTGTGTGTGTGTGAGAGAGAGAAAGAAATTGTGTTAGTTATTTGCTTATTTGTTATGTATGTATGTTTATATTCTTATTTGTATATTATAAAGTACATTGTGCTCTCTCACTCACTGAGTGAGAGAGTGAGAGTGTGAGAGCACAATGTACTTTATAATATACAATGATGTGGAATCATAACTAGCATAGAAGCATTAAATAATGTGCTCTTGTCTGTATCATATAACATTCAGCTGAGTAAGAGGAATAACAATAATAATATTCTTGATATATATGGAATTGACCAATATATAAACATGTGGCTTATATGCTGCTCAGTTCAAAAAGATTGGCTTAAAATAATGCAAATGTAAAATATTGGGCTATTTACTAAAAAGAATCAATGAAAACAGAGTGATTGTCCCAATACAGTAAATAATGAAAAAGAACTTGACTCACTGTTTCAGATTTATCAGTTGACTTTCCCCCTATATTGTTACTGATGAGAGAGTGTACAAATTTTACATAGAATGAAGTTTTAAATAATAAATAAAATGGTATTAGCCGTGGATATGTAATATCTACTTATTTCACATATAAGATTTATCAGATTTTTTTTGTTCTTTTGAAAATGCTCAGTACAAAATATTCAAGAGCTTATCTGCATTCAGTTAGCTAACTGATTAATTGAACAAACTAAATGCTTTCCATTCAGACAGATCTCTTAGCTAAGTAAATAAATGCATCCCCCTTTCACCCAACTTTCCTTTAGCTTTTAAAATGTTATTAAGTAGCAGAAACTGTATTTTTGATTGCAGATGATATTGTTTAAACATCCTCTGTCTTGCAAGGATTGGCACATAAGGAGTTTTTTAATTATTTTCTTCCCCACCTAAAAGTAAATAAACCAGCATGCCATGTTTTTAAATTACTTAAAAAATCTTCTCCTTATTGAAAGGAATTTAAATGTGGTATTAGGTGGGGGTAGAGGCAGTTTTTCAAGAAATATAAACCCCTTTATATAAAATGAAATTAAGAATGCATTTCTGTAATCCTGGTTTCTTTCTATCTTGTAGTACTTATAGAAGGACATTTTAAAGGAAATATTATTTAAACCTTAATATGTTATCTATTGAAATCATAACAAGCATTTAGTTTAGAGTTGTGCATGTTTAATTTGAGAAGCAAAGTCACGAAGAGGGGAAAAACTGCTCATCCTATAGCAGACTTTTATCCCTTTTTATCCCTTTTATCCTTCCCTCCTTCCTTCCCTCTTTCCTTCCTTCCTTCCTTCCTTCCTTCCTTCCTTCCTTCCTTCCTTCCTTCCTTTACCTTACCTTACCTTACCTTACCTTACCTTACCTTACCTTACCTTACCTAGCTTCTTAACTTTCTACCTAGCCAGTTCAAGGGAGGTGGACCATAGCAAGCTGCATTGGTTCCGAGACTGGGAGGAATATAGCAGAGTGGCAGGCTCAAGGGGACAATGAGGCAGTGAGGATATGAAAACCCAGAAACTATAGTTACCTGCTACATTATCTTGCCCCAAGAGGCAGGCCAAAGAATTTTCAGATGGGCAATTTTATATTAGCCAGTCAGTAGATCCAGTTTGATGAGGGTTTTGAGCAGACAGATGGAGTCTATTTGTAGTGTAGAGTACAGGTAGTGTAGTTTTAGCAAATGGATTGGTTGGATCAACACATTCTCCTAGGCAGGATTTTATTTTGAGATGATTTTTTAAAAATCCAATATGTTCAATATTTAATTTTTAGTTCAGATTCTGTGTGCATTCCATCTCAAATATATAGAGTTAGCATCACATTTTGCAGGAATCTATATGCAGTTGAGGGCTTTGTGTAGGGAACTTTGATGATAAAATTGGCCCTCCAGTTCCATAAACCAGTCCTGCCATTAGATTGTCTAGTACTCATTTATTCTGAATTAACATGTATGTACAAAAAGTCCTTGCTTACCGACCATTCATTCAGCAGCCATTTGAAGTTATAAAGAACCGAATAAAGAGACTTACAATTAGTCTTCCTAGGTGGCATTGGCATACAATTAGATAGTTGCAGCATCGTGCAGTCCCATGATCACAATTTTCAACCTTCACAGCCAGCTCCTGACAAGCAGAGTCAATGGGGAAGCCAGCAGAAAGTTGCAAGCCATGTTACATGACATCAATTTTAACGACCCATTGTGATTTTCTTAATGACTGCAGCTGGAATTGCCAAACCGCCATCACAAGATGGTCATGGTCATGTGATTTTTCATTTTACAAATATACCATTTAGTGTCAGAGTTGTCAGTCCAGTTGTGGTCAGTAATATATGTGAATCATTTTATGTGTATTTTTTTGCATCTAAGATTTGGTCACTTCCTAGATTTTAATGGCAAAAATGGATACTTTAAAGGAAAGGTTATTAATTATAGAAACAGAAGAATTATGTAAACTACAAAATAGACTGGACTTTATTCTTATATAAAAGAAAAAAATTGAGTGAGTAATTTGAGTCAAGATTTAAAAGATAAAAAAAATTTCTGTGATATAAATTAAATTGTTGAGTACTTTGTTAAAAACATATTATGTCAAATAGTTTATGAACTATCTTATTCTTTGTTCTGAATAGTAAGTTCTGTGTTTTTCATCAAAATTGTTCATGTTGCAGTAGCAAAACCTTCACATCTTCATGTCTGCAGGTGCTTTACTATCTTGTGGCTCACATTAACTATTCATCATAGGTATATAGTTTGGTATATTGGATGCTTCACATGTGACCTAGGTTGTCTGGATATTCTAGAGTCTCTTATGTTGCTCTGATGTCTCAGAGAGTAAGCTTACACATTTTGTGTGCATCCTGAATAAAATAGTAAGCTGCATGTCTGTCTGCTTATCCTAATATTCTATGTTGCTATGCCATTCAGAAGTGAACGTCTTACACTAAGCATTAACTAATCTTTCCTACTTGCAAAACAAGTTGATATTGTGATTGGCAGACATTATTGTAAAAGTAAGAATGAAGAGATTCCGGGATAGGCTATCAAAATTTATCATTTTCTAGGCAACCAATGTATGAGACTATCTTGCCATATTGGCAAAGGTTAATATGTATTTGGTGTTCCTTGGTTAATATAGCCATGAAACAAGGTTAAGCCACAGTGTAGATGTTATTAATGGTTTTACTGCAGGTTTTCATGGAAAGCATGTTTTTGTAAAAATGACTTCTAAAACATTCAGCCCACGAGTTGATTTTGATACCTATAGATAGTTAAGACACTGCATAAAAGTTGTTTGGTCTTAGATTAATTTTCAAAAGGCAGATTAAAAGGAAGCTGATTTTTGGAATATTTCAGGTACAAATTCGACCTTGGAATTTAAGCGACAGTGACTTTGTAATGGATGGTTCTCAACCTTTAGACCCCAGAAAAACTATTTTTGTGGGAGGAGTTCCACGACCCCTCCGAGCTGGTGAGTAAAAGTATAAAAAGCCAGCTGAATGTGAAAAACTGCTTGAAGCTTGATAAAATAATCTGCCTAGTTTTATTTAGGGTATTTCAAATGAGTGAGTTCTACTTCTCTTCTTTTTGTATGTTTTCTATTTTACATTGCAATTGAATGGAACCAACTGGGTAATCTCACAAGTGATTTTTGCTGATACTCTTCTCTCTCTCTCTTATATTTCAAAATTTCTTCAAGATGATTGGGAAATCTACTCAAACAGCTATCAGAGGTTGAAGCTTAGGAGAGAGAATAAATGAACATTACAATCCTATTCTTTATCCTTATAGAAAGGATTTTGGTTTTCCTCACCAAAGGAGTCCTTCCAGTTACCATAGGCAGCTATGTTAAATTCAAGAGGGAATATTAAAAAAAAACAAAAACCCGAAAGCATTGTCAATTTGCATTTCAAGTGAAGAATGGCTATTCCCTTTTGTTTGTCATGATCAGTTTTCCACTTGAAAGTAATTTTCTTAAACTGGTGAAGCTGAGGGAACTATGTGACTTTCAAAGACTCTCTGGGGTAGAGTAATAAATTTGAATATAAAAAATGATATGGAGAAGCATTTGAATAATCCTTGGGTTTTTTAAATGATAGAGAAATAATTACAACAGTCCTCATAATATATAGTTAATATTTAAGTCTTTCTCTGGAAATATCAGATTATCTTAAATAAAAATTCTAATAATTCTTGGTATATATTTCAGTTTTCAGTTCAAATTTACAATTTCCAATTATTTCAAATTATTAAAAAACAAGAATATGCTCAGTATATATTCATATATTTTTAACCCTCCTGTTCAAACTATTTATCTTCATTCCACAATTTGTATATTGTTGAGGACAAATGTCATTAAATTGATTTTGTATTTATAGCAACCTAATCAAAAAAATTTGCAGATTAGGTGAACAGAGCCATTGTATCAAAAACTCTGCATTTTGTATATAGTGGCCATAAGCTTTTGCCTTAAAAACTATTTCTGATAATTTGGAGTACCAAAGGTCTAAAATGAAATGTTATTTCTGGGCTGTAAATACTTTTACTGCCATTAAATAATTCTAATAATGTCTTTGATTTTAATATTTTGTTTTCTCCTTCAATCCATGATAACAATTCTGATGGTGTAAGTGGTATATTTATCTACCTAAAATTTGATGGTGTAGGTACATATACTTACCTAAAACTGGACTGCCAAAATTGTTGGATATTGGAGCAATCCTATAACGCCATGCCAGTACATTCTAATGTTGCCACATGCCTCCCAATACTCTTTAAAAATAGTACTTGAACTATTTGCCTGAAGAATTATACTATTATATTATTGTATTTATTGCAATACATTTTCTCTAATTGATTTGAGAGACCTCTATTAACGGTTTCTTTATCTACAACATGTCTTTTTTTATCCCCAGTTTCTAATCCTCTAAATATTTTAAACAGAAAGCATTCAAGAACCTTTCATAATGCGGCATATTTTTTGACATTGCCCTTTAATATTTTTCTCCACTTCAAGAATAGTTACTTTGAAATGTGTAAGCGTAAAGTGACTTCTTCATCTTTAAGGACTGATAGAACTTATGCATGCTGTTGTTAAAATAGCCTAATCCTCCATTTATAAAATAGCACTGTTTTCCTTTATCTATAAGGCAAATTTTGATGCTACTTTCAGATTTCATTAGAAAAGCCTAAAATAGGATCCAGAATGTTCTATGCATATAATAGTCTTTCATTTAAAAAGATGTCAAGTTTTGACTATATAGTTTGAATTCTCCAATCTCTGTCCATTTTTTAAAATGTATATTTTAATATAATGGAAGAAGCATCAGTTGAAAACCTATAAAATAAATTAATCTTTCCCAGATTGGTTTCTCTTTTTTAAATACAAATTTTGTTTTTAAAAATTGCCAAAAAATTTTTTTTTGCTAGTTAAGGAAATAGGTAGTATTTAGGAATGATTTAAATAATTTAGAAGTAGAGTTATTTTTAAGAAGATACAGTTTTCACTAAAATAGTTTTTGATGAGTGTCATAATTAAGTTGATCTTTAATTTTATGCATTAGCAAAGTTAAATTAATGATTTTAACATGAAACTGTTGAGGAGAAAATTAAAGTTCTAATGAGAGCCAATTTGGTGTAGTGGTCAGGCTAGAAACGGGGAGACTGATTTCTAGTCCTGCCTTGGACACAAAGCCAGATGGGTGACCTTGAACCAGCCACTTTCTCTCAACCCTAGGAAGGAGGCTGTGGCAAACCACTTCTGAAAAGTCTTGCCAAGAAAACTGCAGGGACTTGTTCAGGTAGTCTCTAAGAAACTGGCACAATTGAATGGAAGGAAAAAAATCTAATATACTGCTTATGGCAACTTTATCCCTTACCTTAGGGGTCTTCAAACTTGGCCCCTTTATGACTTGTGGACTTCAACTCCGAGAATTCCTCAGCCAGCGTGCCTGGGAGTTGAAGTCCACAAGTCATAAAAGGACCAGGTTTGAAGATCCCTGCCTTACCTAGTGCTATAATTTGGAATTGTGTTGGTAAACAATCCCTCAGCCTTTTTAAAATTTATTTTTAGCCATGCTGTTGCATGATTAGTTTAATTTTTCTTCTTTGACTAAAGGAAATTTCTGATTTGACTTAGGCAACATTACAACAGTATCATCAGAGCATGTATAAATTGCTTCCTCATGAGGCTGTTACTGTTATCAATAACTGTTGTTACCAATGTTATTGTTTAAATTGTATAAAAGGGCTTTCAGTGACATAGATTGGAGCAGAGAATGGGTAAACCGATTTTGTTCCTCTCTGTATAATTATATGTGGTGAATCTATATCTTTAAGACTTACAATCACATTTAATTTAAAATATAATTTCTATACCACATTTATAAATTTAACTCCAAATATATATTTTTCTCATGTCTTAAGCAAAAATGACTGTGCCAACATACTGAAGACTTTGTAAGCATCTAGAATAAAAAGGCCAGTTTTTTAAATCCAATATAGAATGTTATTAAGAATATACCTAATTGGATTTCCAATCTGTTTGCTCCTGATGAATCCAATTTAATCCAGATTAATATAATTACTAATCATTGAATGTAATCTATTGACCAATATTGACATGCATATTTTAGCATCTTGGTTCACTAATGGGATAGGTGTATCAGGAAATGCCTGTATGATACTTCCTGTCTTTGAGAATAACTAAAGATCATCCCCTTATTCACCACTCATTCAGTGACCATGAAAAGTTTACAAGCACACTGAAGAAAAAGATTATCTGTCCTTGTAGCCATTGCAAACTCTCTGTGGTCATGTGATTGCAATTTGGGCGCTAGATAACCGGCGTGCATTTACAATGGTCACAGTGTTCCATTGTCCCATCATCATTTGTGACCTTCATTAGGAAAGCTAACAAGAAGTTACAAGTCACTGTCCAGTAATGTGCTTAACGGCCTGTGGTGATTCACTTAATAACCACAGCTGGAACTGATGAACTGACATTGTAAGTCTGCATGATCACATGACTTTTACTTATGACTACATCACTTAGCAATGGAATTGCCAGTCACAACTGTAGTTGATAATTGAGAATTACCTCTGCTATTATTCTAAAAATGTTGAACTGAGACTTCTTTCAAATAATTAGCTACATCTATTTCTTTAGACTATGTGCTGTATACAACCATCTATTACTATCAACTATTGACAGAATCACTGAAATTGATTTCTTTTACTATAATCCAGTAATAAAAACAACATGTTTCAAAAGAGAAACTTTTCCTTGTGCATTGGCTAATACTTTAGCTTTTGTCTCAATATTTGTAACATGTTTAATTAGTGGCCTTGTTTGCAATGTTATTTGTATCTGTTTCTTTTAAGTTTTGTCCATTGTCTAAATAATTTTAATAATGTTTAGATTTAGTCCTTTTATATTGCTTTCTCAAATTTTATTGTCTGCTACTTTAAATTGGCCTTTTTAACCATAGCTGATACCTAGATTGCTTTACTCTAGTTCCATTTGATTATTTAAAATCAACTCAAGGATTTTTCAAATGCAGGATACTGATTTTAATGTATCTATTCTATTTTTATTAATATGTCATATATCTCATAGTTTCAGGTTTTAATTCAAGCCATTTAGGAAGAGGTTTTGGAAGTGGTGGTAATAATCTCTTCCTTTGGATATTTGGTATCCAAAGTAAATTTGACATTTAGATTAATTATCTCAAACATACACTCCTGAAAAAATGTATTGAAATACTACCTATTACTTCTATTGGTTGAAATTGCAGTTTAACTTATTTTTTAGTTATAATAATATGCTGATGGTGGTATTCTTTTCTGATGGCTAATCAAATTTTGCTTTATAAGTTTGTCTCTTGTGTGATAGGTCAGAGGTGTTCTGTATTAGATTTCTTGGGTGCTTACTCCATGTTCAATTTGAGGAAGGTCTTTCTAACTCCTTTTGCCCCTCCCCATTGCTCTCAACATTTTATAGTTAATGGAAGACAATTAAGGGATCAGCTTCCTAAGAAATAAGTAAAAACATTAACAGTATAGAAGTGCCAGAGATTCTAAAGATTAAATTTATGGCCATTTTATCATATTCATGTTCTCTTATAGTTGAACTAGCTATGATTATGGATCGTTTGTATGGAGGAGTCTGCTATGCTGGCATTGATACAGACCCAGAGTTAAAGTACCCCAAAGGTGCTGGTAGAGTGGCTTTCTCCAATCAGCAGAGCTATATTGCTGCTATTAGTGCACGCTTTGTCCAGCTCCAACACAATGACATCGATAAACGGGTAAGTAAAGCATTTTTGGTTGGCTTAACTCTGCAGGCAAATTGCATGGATGCCTGGTGAAGCTGGACCATTCATTGATCTATAATCCAGGATCATCCAATGTGGCTAAAAGTTGCTTTACAGAGACTAAGACTATAATATAAATTAGTACATTTTTAAAAAATGCTTTTGAACAGGTAGGATTACATGTTTTGATCATAGTGTCTAATATGTTTACAAGAAAAATAAGGCAGTATGTGAAAGGTAGAACGTCTAATAGAATATTAAAAGCAAATTATATTTTAACATGGAATATACTCAAATATACTTGATAGTTTCACAAATAGTGCTCACTTTCTGACTATTTGTTCAGCATCTCTTTGAACTTATGATGGCAGTAAAAAATTAGTCTTACAACTGGTTCATAAATTAGTGGCCATCACACCACTTGGCAACCAGCATGCATTTATGATGGTCACAGTGTCCCACGGTCATGTGATTGCTATTTGTGACCCTCACAACCAGCTTCCAACAAGCAAAGTCAATGGAGAAGCTGGAGGAAGTCACAAGTTATGGTCATATGACATTGCGCTTAATGACCCCTGGTGATTCAATTAATGACCACAGCTGGAATTCATATCATAGGCCAGCACGGTCCATGACATCACACAACAACTGCACTGCTTACAAAAGAGTTGCCAATCCCAATTGTGGTCAGTAAGTGAGGAATATCTGTATATAGGCCTTTCAGTTCAAATCTGGAGTGATGTTAAACTTGAGAAAAAAAGAGATGTTAAACATTCCTTGTAATAGAGAAAGAAATGACAGTAATATTTTAACAACGATTAAATTAAAGGCAGAATTCCTTTGGTAATTTACATAACAAAAACCAAGCTTTTCTACAAATACTGTGAAACATGGAAATGTATTTTTTCTGATGCAACTTTTTAAATTTGCAACCGCATGATATGACAAGATATACCAATTAAAATTACCCCTTCTATTCAATATATGTGATGTCTTAAAGCTGAAAAACTGTTTCTCTTTCTTTTAAAGCTGGGGAATTCTGGCTCTTGTCTACTTTGTGAGAGGTTGCACTAGAGTCAATTCTGACGTGCAAGGGTCATTCACAAATGCTCTTTATTTACTGATTGACTCTGTACCTGTCTCCCTTTATAGGTGGAAGTAAAGCCATATGTGCTTGATGATCAGATGTGTGATGAATGCCAGGGTACTCGCTGTGGTGGAAAATTTGCTCCATTCTTTTGTGCCAATGTTACCTGCTTGCAGTATTACTGTGAATACTGTTGGGCGAGCATTCATTCTCGGGCTGGACGAGAGTTCCACAAGCCGCTCGTGAAGGAAGGAGGCGACCGGCCCCGCCACGTGCCCTTCCGTTGGAGCTGAGGCCCGGGCCAAAGGCCAGCAGTACTGGAGCCGACTGGATTGAAGGGGAAAGGAGTGCTGCCTCAGGGCTTTTGTGTTCTGGAAATCTGTGCATTCATCCTTGACTTTAATGAAGAGATGGGTCTTTTTATTATGATGATGGTTATGATTATAATGATGATGATGATTATGATTATTTACAGTCACATTACTGAACACTATGTCCAGTATAATACAAGCCTAGCAGAGTGTAACTGTACTGATTTTGCACTTTGATTCACACAAACATCTGCTTGGTACCTTAATTTCTTACCTGAGACTTGTCACGGCTAACAATAAGTAGACTGCTATGGTCATCAGCCTCCACTAGGTTGGTGTATATGTGATTAAGATTTTTTTAAATTATGTACTTTTATTTTAAAACTGGAGCATGCACTTATTTTCAGAAACTTTGATTTGCCCCTAGCACATGATTTACCAAAGGTAACACTCACAAGTAGGTGGCAGATGTAGCAAAAATTTACAGTGGATATTCAGCAATCATTCAGAGTAGGAAAAACCCTAAACAATCTTTAGTTGCTCTCTATTTTTACTGATAAGGATGATACCTCATAAGCTGGATCACATTTTCTCCACTCCCACCTCCCCATCCCTTTTCTATTTTGCTGAGGGTTTCCTATTTGTTTAGGCCTTTTAGTGTTATGTAAATGTATGCTGCAATAGCTTTTGCTGCTATTAAGATGGTATTACTAATACCACATTACTCTATTCAAGCTAGGGTATCATTTAAAAAGATAATTATGTGATTTAAAACAGTAATGGCTGCTGAAAGATCAGTAGAGCATTCAGAAAGCTTCCAAGGAAGGTCAATAGTTTTGACTGCATGTTTAATCAGGTTGACGCATGCAATAAATTTTTTATAGATATCTAATACAAAACTCTACCCACAATGCACCAATTAAGATTCTATATAGGCTACAAAGTACTCAATAAAATAATTTAAAACACACACACACACACATACGCACACAGGTTACTGACTGGAGGAAGGCATGTCTAAGTCTATGTAGATGCGTCTGAAATTAAAATCAGCCCATAGCCGTATCGCCTATATTACAACAGATATTTTTTAAAAAGAATAGATGTAGAAATATCCTTAAACAGATTTGTGAATGATAGACGAAGTACTTTGCGGTGCTCTGTTCTATATTGTGCAATTTATTTTATATAGTAAAGTAATTATGTCTAGTACTGTGATCAAACTAACTGTTTAAGCCTCTATGTCTACCATTCACACTCTTTTGAAAGTTCAACCATAGAAACAAATACATATGCGCACTCACAAAACAAATTTTGAGCTCTTAGTTCCTATCTCATAAAAGCTTGCACCTATTTATGTAGCTGCAGCCCATGTCCAGAAAACCAAAGAGCTCGCAATAGCATATGTACACTACCAGCTTAAATAGTGGCTGATAAACGGGGCACATTTTGATTGGGAAAAGTGGTGCTAAAGAAATGTCTGCATACAAAAATTATCTTGGGTATGATATTTAATTTCTTAAATCCTGGATGTATCCTGTGAAGCTTGAATATATTTGAGATCTAATCTGAACAGTGGACATTTTTTTAGCATATAATATGGGGCTACAAGGCAAACACATAAACACATATTAGTGTGCTATTTATGAAAATGTGAGAATGTGTACATTATTTTTCTGGGTTTTCTGTGGGTTTGTTCTTCCCCCACCCCATCCCTAGTTTTGGAGGTCTGGGGACAGTCTTGAGTGGATATGGCGCTGCATAGTAGATGTTGAAATGTCCCTGTTTTGAGTGTTGTGATGGCCTTGTTAATGTTGTAACTTTCTACATTTTCTTTTAGTGTTCAGTTGAAATTATTGGCTTGGGGGGGAGGGGGAGAAAATCTTTCTCTGTTGAAAAAAAATAGTTTTTTTACTGGTTTAAAAATTTTCATTCTTCTTGGTATCCCTTTTGCAATTTCTCCTGGGCATTTTTGTGATATTGCTTTATCTAGCCCAGCAATCTATTTTGTTTTGTTTGGGGTTTTCTTTTTCCTTTCCCTTCTTTTTTTCATCTATACAAGATTTGTTATGCACTACTTTTTGTAACTAGACAGTTTTCAATAGTTGGCAGATTATTCTTTTTTAAAGAAAAAAGGCATGCTTTCTGACTGACATGATCTTTTGCAATACCTCAATTTTGAAATATAGGAAAGAAAATATTTTCTAAGTAAGTTTATTCAGAAAAAAATATATATTAATTTAATTCTGTGAGGAAATGATTTAACAGATGGGTAACTTTATTTTTTTCATGCTTATTTGCTTTTTTGAAAATGAAGTTAGAGCTTTATAACTGTATTGAAGATCATAGCTATCCTACCGAAGTCTACCTAATTATGTGAAACAATAAACATTTATGAAGAAATGTCCCTTTCCCACATACAAACATAGCTGGAAAGAAAGGAGAAAGGGGGGGAGAGATGCTGGAAGTTATGTAAACGATGAGATTAAAATGAATACAGCAAGGAAATTTAAAAACAAATTGCTTTGGTGCTGGAAGTTGTGAACAGAAGGTGAAAAACCTGTTTTGCCCTTAATTTGTATATTTATAATCAAGCGATTATGCACGACTGACCAGAATTGTGAGAGTTCTTCTGTTTGTATTTTTTAAAGATAATTTTTAGTTTATTAAATTATAACAAGTTCCCCTTTTGTTTTGTAAATGAATGTGCCCCCTCCCCCCCGGTTGTTAATATCTTACCCCATTATTCTGAGAGGGTCCTTCCAGAAAAGAAGTTATTTTTTAAAACAAATTGTTCTGAACTGCAACTGGATGAAGGAGCCCCTGGGTACCACAGGCCCACTTGTGGCCTTCCCTCCATGCGAGACTTGAACTAGTCGGTTTTCTTTTTGAAAGCAACTTAACCTCGACTATTTGTTGTTATGTGCAATACTGTTTGTACTGTTTGTATAAAAAAGAAAAAAGAAAAGAAAAAAGGCATAAATCTTTATTGCAAATTTATTTTCATTGCAAACTTTAGACATTGTGATTCACTAAGATCATTTTTCTACTGTCAAATATGTACCTTTTCTTCATGCTGGTATTTTTTCAATAGTAATGTAGCCTTTGTACTGAGACAGATTTTCATTGTTATTTTTAGAAAGATTTTTTGCTAAGAGAAATTTAAACATTGACATATTTTTCATTTTTATTTCAGATTTTCTTTAAGGAATGCTTTCTCAACCATTAATATAGTTGTTTCTGGGAGAGACTTTCATATCTGGTCAATGTCATTAATATTATTTTGTATTTTTACTTGGAATAAATTAATTTTATGATGCTAATTCTTTAAAAGTTTATTTTTTTCATTTTCAGTTATTTTTGAAGCTAAAAAACCTTTGTAATATTGTTACTAAAGTGTCTAGTTTTTTGAAATGCAAAGCTTTATGTATTAACTTGCTGATGTGGTTTACAATGGTGTGAAAATGGTTGGATATGTGAAATGATTGAAAAACTGTAATGAATAATTGGGCAATAAAATTACAGAATGAAGCAGGAAAATGATGTGATATTTTTTAGAAGCTTTTTCCTTTATCAGAATGATTTAGGAAGACAATAGGGATGTCACAGTACCAGTTCGCTGTCTAGATTTGTACAACACCAATGTTAATAAACACTGTTGCTGTTGTAATTCACTCCAATCTGTAGAAATAACAGGTCTACAATCTTGGCTGTTTAGCATCCTACCAATTTGCTTCCTCACCATTACCATGGGCACATCCAGTACTGTTGCATAGTGGGTGCACGGGTGAAAAATAAATGGAACTACGCAGCATTAAGGCTTGGCTAAGTCACCTCCTCCGTACTCAACCATGCATCCTCTTTATGGACATTTTTGTTTTTGAACTATTCCCTTAAATCTCTCCCAAATGGCTTCTGGGTGATCTGCCATGCTTTTATTTATTTATTAAACCTATCCTTCATGCTGCATTTCCCTGCGCCTCTTTACATGGTAACTCAGAACAAATGGAGGAAATTTGTATAGTATCTACATAATGTTACAGTGTACCATACAGTGTAAGTTTCTCATAGTTAGTGCTATCTAATGCATGTATAGGAACCCTTATTACCTGATCTGAGCACTTTTTTCAAACTGCTTGTATATTTCTCCCTTTCTTGTGTTAGGCCTCTTATAGCATAAGAACAGCATCTGTTGCTGCTATAAAAATAACATTGCATCATTTTTTGTAATTCATCTCCACCTTTGCCTGTCCTACCCCTTTACTGCAATACTAGCAAAACCTCTGTGTGGAAGCTGGGTACTGTTATCCCTTCCTTTAGATCAGTGATTCTCAGACTTGGCAATTTGAAGATATGTGGACTTCAACTCCCAGAATTCTGCAGCTAGCATGGCTGGGGAATTCTGGAAGTTGAAGTCCCCACATCTTCAAGACACCAACTTTGAAAAACCTTGCTTTAGATCCTGCAACTCAAACTGGTGTTACATAAACAGAAGATACAATGGCCTTCTCCAGATATATCAGTCGTCAGATTTTATCTGCTTTTATGAGGACTTCAGCTGAAGGGAAGCTGTCCCTTGATGTCTTGTGTAAATATCTGGAGTTGGCCTTTGTGAGTTCTTTGTAAGTAATGTACAGGCAATTTCAAATAGTAAAATTTAGACTCTAACTAGGTTCTATGGTTGGAACAAACACAAATTGAAAAAGCATAATACAGTAGAAGTGAAGGAGAAATTTTTCAAACTCCTGCAAGAATGGAATGAGGTGAGTGTGTGCTTATACTCCTGCCTACACACTTGCCTTGTAGGAAAGCAGGTTTTTAAAAAATGTATTACAAATATGCAGTTATTACAGATTTCATTATCTTTGTTAGAGTAGTACAAAAATACAGTGCTTTACTAGGAGAAAATCTCCTATGTTAATATTTCAGTATTGTGACATCTCTACTTGCAAGATACGAGTGAAAGATTAGTCACAGATTGGTTTTTTTAAACTATTTTTGTTAAACCTGCCTTTTATGTAGTTGCTTTTTA